CCCCCTCCCCCCACAAAACCTTCGGCGGATATAATACATGTCGTATTTGAGAATTTTTCCCACTGCCATGAATGGCGTGCTTTCGCGGCACGGTTCTTATTTGAAAGATCGGTGACTATCTCACTAAACATCAGTCCAATAATCGCGCTGCAACCGCTCGCGTCTGTCCAGCACCTAGTTCATCTAGCTTAAGTGTGGCTTTGTCAGTTCTGATAGAAGATCTTACCTCGAACCACACTCCAGATATTCTTTTTGTACACGATGCCACCATGAACTTTAATTCGAGCCTCATGGTCACTGATTTTGGAGACACAGTAGATACACTGAAATATTAATCGATTACAGACTGCCTATATTCAAAACATGCCCTTCTATAAATGACGGGTGTCGCCACGAGCGGTCGCGTAGCGGCATGCTCTTGAACGGTGTAAGACCGAATTGTGTGGAACTTGAATAAAGATCCTTCGCTTAGTTTTGAACTTGTTCGGGAAGGAAATTGGACTGCGCCGTAGCGCGACCGCGTGCGGCAGCATGTGTGATTTACTCCCTTTCAAAGAAACTCTAACTTACTTGAATTGTGAAGTCATTAGCGTAAGGAACACCAGAGTTTTGTGTCTCTTTATTCACAATAAAACCATCACCATGTCGTCCAAAATGGGATATTATCTAAAATGGCTACATTTGCATCACGGGTTAGACACCATATCGATCGATATTATCGATTACCTGTTTTTCTGTCACCACACAGCTTTTCGGTGCCATCGCATGATTTAGTGCCATTGTATAGGTGCACGTTCGTGATCGTACACCATCTTTGTCGGTTGTCCAAGCCGAAGCGATGTAGCCTAATCAATAAATCAATAATCACTTACTTCATTATGACATCCACAAGTGTTAGTTGATAGAGCATAACAGCGACACACAAAATTCGTAACATCACGAGAATCATGCCGTTAGTCACCCATGGACTCATATCCAGCAATATTTTTGATGTTTTTGACCCCCCCCCCACACCAATAAAGCGATGAGTTCAGGGTGATATTAATGCATAGCATTGACATTAATGCTAGTCACAACATGCGCACGACACACACGTTCTTATTACTCACCTGAAACGTTTTCGGAAACTTTTGAATGCACTAAAATCACTAATTTTATTGACTGATGTCGGTGAGTAAAAAGTGGAAGGATAATTGATTCGATAGTTGAGTGATCCGGACGAGTTTTCGGAGTTAGAAGACGCGCAGTATGATCTATCATGTCATTGCGTGTTCTAACTAGTCTCCTTTGATCGAAGTGACCCGAACCCTACTAGGACCAGAGCGCAGATGGATGAAGGAAGGGGCGGAGGCGCAGCTGGTAGGCGGAGTCGCAGTCTGTAGGGCCTTAGCAAGTCACTTAAAGAACGCCTTTTGTCACGCCTGCGTGTAGCTCTTCCCATTAAGTTTGTCCTATATTTCTAGTACCCACTGGCTTTGAGTGGCCATCATTATGTGGAAGGTAATAAGTGAGAATAGTGAAACAGTGAAGTGAGACAAAGCTGCTATTTGTGGTAGCGCAACTCCACACCATTCAATTTGGGCCTCAGCTCAGCTTCGAAGGCATGGTCCACGCTGGTCGCGTGGGCGGGGTCAGCCCTGCCACTGTGAACGGTGAAAAGTACTTATGGAGGACGCACGTAAATATTTAGCTCTTAGCACTGATGGAAAAATGATGAACAGCAAAAAAAAGAGGTGGCGGGTCTCCTACCTGAGTTTTTCAATGCCTCGTTGAATTTCTTGAACCAAGGGCTATCAGTGAAGAGCAACTCGTAGATCTCTTCTACACTTAGCGGATAGACGTTGTCCAGAAGTAACTTCCCTGCATGGGAATCGCATGGACAATTAACGTCTTCCTGAAGAAATGTAGTGAATTAGATGGTTCAGTGGATGTCTACGTGGTCTTACCTGCTCCAGTGACGATTGTGAAGATGCCTCGGCAATGGAAGGGAATTCGTCGATGGGTCGTGATGCGCTCGGTGTCATTTCCGGGGTATTTGATTCACTGAAATGGCAAATTGCAGTCTGAAGGAAAGGCAAGTTGTTTGTGAGATAGCAGAGACGCAGAGGATGGGGTAGAAAACCCAAGGTCTGTCCTTCGAAACGATTCCAGGTTGCGAGAACGCTCCGATGGTTTTACTGTCAAACCCATAGTGAAAGTCGCTGCAAGCGTCATGTCATAGATAGCCATGTTTGAGATAAAAAGCCCCTCGTGTTGTGTTCCGTTGTTCCGTGAATCGATAGGTAGGGGGTGTATTTTTGATTCAGAGGCTATTGGATCAAACCCTGCTAATTACACATTCTGAGACCTTCTGCATGAGGCAGAAAAAAATTACTCATATGAGTTTAGTAGCATTCACTCCGGATGAATCCAAAATGAGGGGGCAAGTGGGCGCTGATCACCTTGGAGAGGTTACATGGAATCGGTTTAACTACTTCAGAACTCCTGCACCTCTCTGGGCTCAAGCAGAAGCCGTTGTCTGAAATGTGATAATCTAATTTTGCAGGAACCGTTTAGGCTCCCCCCTACCCCCCCCCTCTATGGTACCAGAGCGCCTAGGGGCATTTGAAGGACTCCTCGTGCACAACTGGAACTATCA